CTCCCAGGCCCTGCAAATCCCACATCCAACACTGTGGATTCATGGGGGGCACTGATGCAGCTGCACATGCAGAAACGATCCCTGTGGCACCATTAAGAAGGAAACCCCAGTTTTGCAGCTGGCCTGGGGCTGTTCCCTGATCTGTGACCCCTCTGTGCCCACAGGAGAACAGCGTGGAGTTCGAGGCCTGCCTGGTGGCGCAGTGCGACGCCCTCATCGATGCCCTCAACAGGAGGAAAGCCCAGCTGCTCTCCCGGGTCAACAAGGAGCACGAGCACAAGCTGAAGGTGAGCCTGGGTTCCTGCAGGGGATGAGGCCTGAGACGCTGTTTTTTGGGGAGCTCACTCCTTTTCCATGGGAATTCCATCTTGCTGCAGGTGCCCAGCCTGCTCACAGCATGTCCCTGACAAAGTGCTGCTTCCTCCAGGGGGTTCCCACCCAGTTGTTGGGTTCATTTCTAGTCCTTAGGTCAGCAGAACCACATGGAAAATTACTTTGTTCATCTCACATGTTGCTGCCAAGCTTCTGGAATGATCCTGCAGGATCTGCTGGTAAATTCTGCTGGAGTCCTGAGCCACCTGGTGTCCTGAGTTGTCACCAGGAGCAGGACTGGCTGTGATTTCTCTGCTGTCATGGCCTCAGGGTGGAGGTGGCACTGAGGTTTCTGGTGCTGGGGAGCAGCTCAGTGGGAGCTGTGGGAGGGGGCTCCTGGTTTGTGCCATTCCCACCACACCACGTCTTCCCAGCTGATGTGGGGCTGGGAAGGGAAGCAAAGGAGCAGATCTCACCTGGGAGCAGTGGAACAGGGGCAGCCATGCCCAGAATTGTTGGACAGGGGAGTTGCACCCTGGCCATCAGTGATGGAGTCCAGCTGAGGGGTGTCACAGCCACATTCAGGATTCCTCTGCCGAGGTCATTTCAGTGTTCTGCTTTCCCTTGCTTTGGGCCACCCAGAAGCTGTCAGGGGGATTCCTGGAGCTGCCTAAAACAAGGGTGAAAGCCACCAGTCCTGTGTGCATGCAGACCATGGGCAGCATGAGGACATTTCCACGGGACAGGGACAATGGCAGCTTTGTGGGACCATCAGTACTCATTGCCACAACAAAGCACAGCCCCAATTCCTGTTGGGAATTTCCAAACAGCCCCAGCACAGAGGGACCCCCAGAGCCTGGTGGGCTCTCTGTCCCTCATCCCCTTCAGGGCATGCTTAATTAAACTCTCACAAAGCCAGGCAGCACAAAGCAATTTCCCTGCTCAGCACAACCCACAGAGGCCTTTGGCTGAGGGAATGGATCTGCATCCCCCTGTTTGTTCCCAGCCATGGATCTGCATCCCCCTGTTTGCTCCCATCCATGGATCTCCATCCCACTGCTTGTTCCATCCATGGATCTTCATCCCACTGCTTGTTCTGTCCATGGATCTGCATCCCCCTGTTTGCTCCCATCCATGGATCTGCATCCCACTGTTTGTCCTGTTTATGGATCTGCATCCCCCTGTTTGCTCCCATCCATGGATCTGCATCCCCCTGTTTGCTCCCATCCATGGATCTGCATCCCCCTGTTTCCTCCCATCCATGGATCTGCATCCCACTGCTTGTTTTGTCCATGGATCTGCATCCCAGTGTTTGCCCCTGTCCCATCCATGGATCTGCATCCCCCTGTTTGCTCCCATCCATGGATCTGCATCCCACTGTTTGTCCTGTTTATGGATCTGCATCCCACTGTTTGCTCCCATCCATGGATCTGCATCCCCCTGTTTGCTCCCATCCATGGATCTGCATCCCACTGCTTGTTCTGTTCTCTCCATGGATCTGCATCCCCCTGTTTGCTCCTGTCCATGGATCTCCATCCCAGTGTTTACTCCCATCGATGGATCTGCATCCCACTGCTTGCTCCTGTTCCATGTCCTGCATCCCACCCCACCCACCCTCATTATCAGCCAGGCTTTGTCATTGCCCAGGCCTGGTCCTTAAAGCAAGAAGCAGCCCCTGGGTTTGTGAGTGGGCTCCTAAGTTAGCCCTGGAGCTCCCCAGCTCCACGTACTGAGGGAAGGGCAGGGAGGGCTCTGTGCTGCCCTGGCAGATGTGGCACCTGGGCCTCATCCAGGCAGAATCAGAGCCATGGAATGGTTTGGGTTGGAAGGGACCTTAAATCCCACCCAGTGCCACCCCTGCCATGGCAGGGACACCTCCCACTGTCCCAGGCTGCTCCCAGCTCTGTCCAGGGTCACTCCAGGGATCCAGGGGCAGCCACAGCTGCTCTGGGAATTCCATTCAAGGGCCTCCCTCCCTCCCAGCCAGGAATTCCTTCGTCATGGCTCATCTAAACTTCTCCCTGCAGTGGGTGAAGCTGCAGTGATCTCCACTCACTCTGAGGTGACCCAGGGCCCATTTCCATCTGCAGAGAAGCAGGAGGTCCCCTCCTGGGCTGTGCTTTGGTGGGGCTGTGAGCAGGGAGAGCCCTGCAGGGCTGTGGGGTCTGTCCTGGCCAATGTTCCCATCAGCACAGGACACTTTGGCCACTTGGGCTGGGAGGCCTGTCCTGGGTGTCATTTTTTCACTGTCTTGTCCTGGAGCATCTTCCTCTGGGAGATGAGTGCCCAGTGAGCCTTGGCATGCCCAGAGAGCCTTGGCATGCCCAGGGAGCCTTGGCAGTGCCAGGGAGCCCTTCCAGGTCCCAGCCGGGACGGAGCCGCTGTGTCCTGGCTCCTGTCCTGGAGTCTCCCTGGGCTGCTGCTCCTGCCCAGTGGGATTTTGGCCATCCTGGCACCGTGGGATGGAGGGAGCAGGAGAAGCACAGGGCACAGAGCCCTGGCACAGGGCCACAGGCACCTCTCAGGACACGTTCCCAGCCCCAGTTCCCATCCTTGTGTGGCTGGCGCTGGGATTTGGGGTGGGTTTGGCTTTGGGATTGCCCTGCT